TGACGATCGGAGAAAAGTTTCAAAACCAGGGAGGAGATAGGTTTGCGAGAGAGGTAGCTCATTTTTTGGAATGCTTACTCTTGTCAAAATTGTGGAACACAGGTATTTTGTTTTTTGTGACTCGAAGATACACGATTAGACTCAGTTTTTGATGGGGAATCCAAATATATCAAATTCAAAAAATTACAGTGAACGAAAGAGGGCAAAATTTTAAGTTTTCTCTGAGCAATGCAAATTTTTTGTTTTCTCGGTGTTCTTAGTATTTTGAGAATTTCTCCACAAAAACTGGATCAAATTCGAATAAAAAGGTGATATCCGGAATCAGCGCATTCAGGAGTATCTGAATATGTAGCTTTCGACCGAAAGTTAAGATAGTGCTGCATTTTTGAATTGCGGGCACCTTATATGAAAAAATATGATGTTATTAGACATTTTCGAAAATATAATCAGACATTTTAATTAAAGATTTTAGGCGCTGTTACTTTTTTTGGACTGATATATGTAGATGAATGCAATAAAAAGCTAAAGTCATACTAAACACAGAAAGAGTGTGTGTGCGCGTACGTTTTGATATTAACTAAGGTTGCCGCCACCCCCCCTTTTTTTCGACCCTCTTGAAAACCGGGGAAGCCGATGTTTCATCGGGGTGAGATTTATAAATTTGATTAATAAACATATTCATTAATTTACTACTAAACAATATTCTTTTTCTTGCGTTAGCTGTTAGTATGTTCAATTGACTAATATCATGATTTTTTCGTTGACTATTCATATTTTTGTTGTTGTTTTAATTTATCTAATAGTTCTTGATATTTCCGACAATATGTACATAAGAATCTGCCATATGATTTAATCCACAATCAACACATACAATTCCTTCAGATTCACATTCTTTGATATCATGTTTACCACCACATTTTATGCAATGTTTTTCAGATCGACATGTTCAATTGATATGACCAAAATGACAATAATCTATGCATTGTGTCATTGTCTGATCTTTTATACACATCCTTTTTTATAAGCCATATTACCTTTTCTATTTCAAAATCCAAATCAATATGATAATTATTTTCTTAAATTCATCGAATTTTGATTCTTCATCAATGCCAACATCTGTTGCAACATTTTTAATGACTACACTATGTTGTTTTGTTGAACCAAGTTGATAAACAGAATACTTCTCATTGATTATTTTTAAATTTTTCCGTCAATTTTTGCTGCGTTTCTTTTGTTAGAAATTGAAATACACGGCCACCTGTTGGATGAATATACGTAAGCTGCGGACGACATTTGATATCCAGATAATCTGTTGCTTTTTGTAATTGTGCAGCTATTTCCTTTGTGTTAGATCTAGTTCGTTCTGTTTGATCGTTTAAAAAGATAATTAATGAACGTAAAAAATCAGTTTTTACTGCTGGGATAATGATTTAGAATTAATATGATGATCATTACTTTGTGTTATAGTCCTTGGTGATGCTAATGAGACGGTTGTTAATGGTTCTAATATATCATGAGCTTCTGTTCATTGTGATATCGGTATTGTTGTTTTATCTCTACAGGTTGTTGGTTTTACTGTTGCTGTTATTATTGTTGATTCATTTTTCTTATTTGATGAGCTTTTTTCTGTTGATTTACATAATGATACTTGCAGGGCCGTAAATAGGAAGTCAGCTTTGGGGGAGGGTGTAAAAAGTTTTTAAAGCTTCATGCAGCGAAAAGTTTTTTTGGGGGAATATAAGAAAAAAAATTTTCGCTGTGCAACAAAAAGTAACGAAAAAAACTTTTAATTTCCGCTGGAAGGAAAGGACAAATTTTTATTTTGGGGAGGGTGGGGAGTGTACACCCTCTTCACCCTCCTCCGCAATTTACGGCCCTGGCTACTTGAACATAATTTGGCTTACAAGTACTGCACTATAAAGGAACTATAAAAAGTTCTTTTATTTCTACTAGAATGGTTTGTGTGATTTCAGTTGTTAATGCACATTGTGCATAACAATAATTTTGATATATTTTACAAGAAAAGCCACTTGGTGATTTACCAATACTGCATTTTAACTGTGAATTTTCTTTTGATGACTGATTCTTAGTTTTATCTTGACATGCTTGATAACAGCTACTATTTGAAATTTTGCTTAAATATCAGGATCGGATGCTGTTGGAGAAGTAGGCAAGTGTTGTATTCTCTTCCTTCTGTTCGTCATATCATCATTTTCTTTAAAGATTCTTTCAATAATTCAGAGTTTTTGAGAATTTATTTTTTAAAAGAAAAATGAACAAAATTTTACGAAAACAAACACGTTTAATCGCGCGAGAGATTAATGAATCAGTATCGTATGTCGAATGACTTAAGAGGGTTAAACATTTATCTTTATAACTGAGATTGAATTCAAATGATTACTCGATTTTTTCATAAATATATATGTGGGAAGTTAATTCCGGTTCTGCGGAACTTCTAAGTGAATCAGAAATTTGGAATTTGAGAGATTTTTCGGTATTCTTTCTATAACTTAACAAGCTAAGTTCTTTAAAAAGTTTCTAAAAAACACTCTGTGATAGTGTCCTTAGTTCATCGGGTACAATTTTTGGCGTGATCAGATGAAATGTAAGGCAGATTATAATACGACACAATGAAAAATTCGTGAACAAGGCGAAAAAAATACTCTGTGAAGTTTTCAATTAATTCTGGACATATGAAGCTTTAATCATTTCAGTTTTTATTTATCACCATTTCTACGGAAAGGTCAAAATGAGAGATAGAGTATGCTTAGCCACTTTTCAAATATTCACTTCAATAAATTATAATATGTTGACATCATCCACTATTGACTTAAAGAAATAATGATGATAAACTTATCAAATATTAAACAGCTGCCATATTATTCATTTCTCGCTCAATACCAAATAGGAATTACTATTCGATATTGTTAACACACAGCATAAAATAATGGTTCATTATCTCGCCCAATTACCGATTCATTTTTATTATCTTATTTTCGTATTTCTTACAATCAATATGATCATTGGTAGTGTCTATTCGATATTTGTTGCAATATTTATTTTGAAACAAATTTTAATTATGAAACATACTGTTTATATAATAACATTTTCTGTGCTTATTGTATGTATAGTACGATCGGTTGTTTATTTACCATTTCATTTTGCTCGTATGTATCGTCTACAACAAAATATACCGATGACACAAACATTTTGTCTCACTCATATTGTTCTTGATGATTTAACGATCATATCATTGTCATTGTTAAACGGTTTTTTAGCATGGAATTCATTTTTAACATTATGGAGTAGAGAACTAAATAGTATTAAAACATCGACAATTAAAATTGAAATTGTCTTTTCCTTATTAGTAGCTATTGTATATGCTACATTGCATGGAGTCGATGCTAAATCATGTATTGATTATAAATTATGTTTGAATAGTTTATCAGATAGTTTTATATTGAAGAAAAATCCAGAAGACCATGAACAACAGATTCGTGTTCAATTTTATGCTATGGGAATTGAAGATGATGAAAAACACGAAACCAATGTTGGTCTAGTTGAATCAAAAATTGATATTGATTTGTGGTGTGATTTTATAACAATACTAACTATACTAATAACATCTGCATTGTCATTCTGTTTCTACGCATTAGCATTTAAACAAAAAATACAAATTACAAATAGTGATTCATATAGAATTGTTCGAAATTCCATATTAAAAAATAGACGACAAATCAATAATGAACGTAAGTAGGCAGAATTGTGAAACTCTTGACTAAACTTGATTTTCTTTTTAATATACCGATGCAGAATATGTGGAGAATTTCAAACATGATAAATCAATACAAAATGAACATAAAACAGAAAAATCGGTTGCCGTTGTACCAACATATATCATTCCTCAGCACATAAACCCATCAGTCAATACAGCCCGTTCGTCAAGCGTCAGGCATTGTCCAGAAAAGGAAACTAAACAAATTCAATATCAGCCATCATTAACATCATTATCTACAACCAAATTCATGAAAAACAAAATATTACCAAACTCGAACGAAACAAATCAGATTGGTGTTGTTCTATTGAAAAATGATCATAACTATCTAGAAGCTTCTTCATTGTTAAGCACAACACATGATCATGTTAAACAGCATAATATGAATAGACTACGCGATCAGCTTATGTGCCCATTAAAATATATCAATAATCAACCCTTTTATTTTAAGGAATCCAATATTCAACATCAGTCCCCACCGCCGATACGTTCAGGAACAATGAATAATACTCGAAGATCATATAAAAAATACCTACAATTGTGCAATATATTTCAAACAAATTTTGTTATATCGATCGGATTTTTATTGTGTGTTAGTCCGTTTTCAATGTATATATTAGACGTGTATCAACGACGTTTGATCGATCTCAATTCATGTGCAATATTGAAAGCATTAAGTTATTTTCTTGCCTTATGGATACCCATAACAATCACCGTGTGTGATTTAACCATTCGACAAAACATGCAACGATGGTTTATAAAAGATTTTTAACCAGTAATTGAAATCGTATTATTAATTACTTATTTAATTATTTTATTTTGACAAATTACATACGATTTCGCTGATTTTTTGTATTTTTACTAAAATTTAAAAAAAATTGATCTAACCTTTTCAGCGGATACAACATTCATGATATAATATTTTATCCCTTTTGTTCTCATAGTGGAAAGTATATGCGGAATTCATTCTGATTATTTTGAATCTGTCTATCACTGTAATTGTACAATTATTCTTATTTACTTCTGATTTGTCCCATCGAGGTAATTGCGTAACATTATCTACTAATCTACACAAATATATTAAAGATCATACTACTAGTACTATTCTTGTATAAATATTTGTTACAAAACGTTTTTTTCTTAATAATGACAATTGTATTGCTGAAATACAATTGTAGTTACGGTATTAAGACGGGGTATCCTTTCCAAACATACCCTCCAACTTTGCCAGTTTGTAGAGGACACCTTCAAGGGTATACGTGTGCAATAACTCACGAGTTTTAGCGGAGTGGTGAAATTTTTAAAAACCGAAAAAGTCGATTTTCCAAGCTATTTTGCA